AAAAAAAAAAAAAAGAATCTAGGTAACTTATACATAGGGCAAGAAGCCCGCTGCTCAGCTGCTGGTGGGTGAGGTCCAGACATGGAGCTGTGCAGCACCCACTTGTGGTGCCTGGTTCACAGCCCTGGCACTGCACGCACGTGCACTGCACACACGCGCACACACACCAAGCAGCCACCACAGCCTGTAGGGAAGAGAACCTCAAGCTACCTGCCCTCCTTTATGGCCTTTTCCCTCAGGGATCTGTGCATTTTTATAATCTTTTCTCATAGGGTTCCTGGGCCAAATTTTCTTTAATTATTACATATCTGCAACCCCAGGGCAAGACGTTTCCTGGTTCCCGCCGCAGGGTGCGAACCAAAGGGAGGACTCGGTCTTAACCTGGCAGGTGCCGACAGGACGCCGCCCCCAAGAGAGGCCGGGGTGCCCCTCCTACGACGCTAGGACTGAAGTGGCCGCGACCCCGCGGAGGATTGGGGGACGCGGACTGTCTCCGGGCACCCCGAACCCCGCAGACTCCGGGCCTCCCGCCCGCCCCAAGCAGGAATCCACCCGACCTACCGCTCAAGACGGCCCCGTGAAGCAACCACCGGGCACACGGTGGTACCAGGGCCGGAGCTGTCGGGGCGCGGCGGGCGGCCTGCGCTTCGCGGCTCGCGGGACAGCAGGACCGGGCCACTGCGAAGCGCGGGACGCAGGTATGAAGACCCAGGCCTGCGCGAGGCGAGGCACCGGCGCTGCGCATCTGGCACGCTGCCCCCACTCCTCCCCTCCAGCCCCTTCCCGTATGACTCTCAATGGCGCTTGGGGCTTGGACCTAGAGGAAGCAACTTCAGCCTAGGTGCACAACGCTCCCCATCGGGGGTGGGGCAGAGGGTACTGGGGCTTCACAGGCGACTACAGACGGAGCCAGAAATGCCCTTTCAGAATTCTCTTGCAGAAATTTCCAGATCAAAAGCCACCCCCGTATAAGTGGGTCCCTTGGCCTGGGTCTGCACAGAGCCTACCTGGCGCGGTGGGCGAGGCAGGGCCTGCAGCATCAGGGTGTGCGTCAAGATCTGGTGCGCCTGTGCGTTCTGAAGCAGCATGGCGTCCACCAGGTCTGAAAGAGAGGCCCCAGGAGACAGTTAGATCTTGAAGGCTTTGCACTGGAGAACATTCTGGCATACCTGTCTGGGCATGGTGCCAGGGCATGTTCTGAGACTTGAAGCTTTCAAGTCAGCAGGTATGGCTGCTTCATGGCTTTTTGATGTTGCCCAGCTACCTCCCCGAGAGACCTGACTTTCTGCTACCAGTCACTCCCTGTGCCCCCCTGGGCTGGCTGGTGAACCTAGAAAAGTATGTCCTGGTCTTAATCCCCAGGATTCCAGAACTTGCCCTCATTTGGGAAAAGGTCTTTGCAGGTGTAATTAAGAATCTTGAGATGAGAGGGCTCATCTTGCATTGTTTGGGCTGGCCCTAAATTGCAGTGGGAGCTCTGAGACATGGGAGACAGATGCAGGGGTGAAGTCCACCAAGAACCAGGAAGGAAGCAGCCCACAAAGGAAGCCTAGATTGTAGATTTCTCACCTGCAGAATTAAGAACTTTATTATTATTATTTTATTTCAGATTAATGTGAGGGTACAATTAGGCTACAATGTTTGCCTTTGTTAGGAAGAGTCCTTGATGTACTTGTGTTGGGCATCCAGAAGGTGTGCCATTAAGTGGGAGCACACAGTTAGGGACTTCAAACAAGCCACCCAGTGTGTGGTGCTTTGTAACAGCAGGTGGGAAGCTAACAGACTCTCCAGCACTGGGTATCAGAAAACATTGTAACTGCTGACAGTGTGATATAGGTAAACATTGGTTCTTTGGGCAGCAACTACCAGGGGTCCTCAAACTTTTTTTTTTTTTTTTTT